ATTTTAAGGTAATCCATTAAGAAATACACGTAAATATAAAATCTCCGGTTTTGATTGAAGTTCTTCCTCTCTTTTTCTTCACCGCACCAAAAGTACAAAAATGTATGTGATAGATAAATATACTTAATTTCCTGGATTTTTCAAATTTGGTACACTGGTAGATCTTTATAATCTAAATATAAGCTACATGTGCAAAGTTATTCAAAAAAAACGCTCAATTTTGAGCAAAAAATTCATGTGAGCTATCAGTCTAAAATGTTTATTATAGCTACACCTAAGAGTAAAGTGGACTGTTTTTAGTTGTTGTTTTTTTTGCCATTCGGATTAAAGAAGGCTGATTTAGAACAGCAAAAGTATAGGGTGAAAGCGCATGAAGAACACAAGTATTGGTTAGGCAAAGCAAACTAGATTAGTAGTTTCTAGCTCAAGTTTTCAAAAGAATCATATGGGTTGACGGTTATTATTCATTGCCAACTTTTAAGCACAAATTTGCTAAATTTTATGAAATTCTCCCGATTAAAGAGCGTGTAGCGTCACGTGATATTAGCTTAAGCAATTAGCGTAAATAATGATGCTTGATACACTGTACCAAGTGCATGCACGTGATGACAAGAAACTGTTAATCTACTGGTGTTACTATAAAGGAAGTTATTAACAATCTTTTAGAGAGGAAAAACCACCACCATATATTTAAAGAATCTGGTTGGTTCTGTAAGGTATAGATCTTCTGAATAATAGGGATGCGACCGTAAAGCTAATATTAGTTACTACCGAGTGTCACTTTCTTACTTGCTGTGGTTTGTTGGTGTGTATTGACAAAAAGTCATGATATCTTAAGTGTGAAAAAAAGGTGCCACCAAAAATATTTGTTTTACCCACCATCATGCTCCAAGTTTAACAAAAAACGCGGCCTGGCTAAGTATTGGATGAATATTTGCTGTAAAATTATTGTCAATGCTATAAGTGTAGCTACCAGTTTGGCGCCAATTTTGATTTCATTCCTTTAATTCGCACGCTCAATCCTTTTTTGACCGCATTTTTTATCTTCACACCTATGGTGTTTTTGATTAGATTGTTATATGCCTGATGTGAACTAGTGATTAGGGGCACTCGACTTATAATTTTCGAGTCACAGTTTCGAATTCCATCACCAAACATGTTCGCCCTTTAAGCCCTTTAAGAGTAGCCCAAGAGTTGGTGGTAGGTGGTTTTTACTAGTTACTTTCCCTCTAATCTATCACTTCTAAAATACGGACGACTAACGCAGATAACTTTTGAATACCTTGCACGAAATTCACCAAACAGACATAAAATAAACTGCATTGTTAAAACAAATAATGTCATGCGTTAATAATTTTCATTTAACCTTTACATTTATAGAGAATTTGTGTCTTGCAAAACGAATTTAACTTTTAATTAATAATGCTTGGAGACGGCTTGAATGGGTAATGAAGAAAACTTTAATATAAGTTTAACATAACAGCAAATGTACAACGTTTCGACAAGGTTTTGTCATCATCAACTTTTAATTAGTCCTTTTCTTATCATGTAATTCCCTTTCCAGCAAGTCAGATTTATCGAGAAATAAGGAAATAAAATCCAAAATGAACCTAACCCATTGTGATATACTTTAATCGTTTGAGTTATTTTTGGCTATTTTTGTCTGATTGAATAGTGGAATTTGACAGTTACCCTTATAACGCTCCCATGGCTCTAATGCGCAGAGCGCGACTTTTTCTGGCGGTAACTGGCCACACTATCACTGTTCGTATCCATTTAAAAAGAAATCGGACGAAATTAACGGTTATCACAGTCCACCAGTAGGTCAGCGGAAAGTTTCCGGACTTACAATGATAAAATTGATTCCGCTGCGGTGGCCAGAGCACAGATAGCCCGTTGCTTACTTAGCTTTGTAATAAAACAACGTTTATTACCCAGATTGTACATATTATTCTGATGAATATGTATCTTGTTTGAAGAAACTGAAGTGAAAGACAAA